GAGTATGTGGAAGTAACTGTGGCGATACATCGCTGCCCGGTGGTGGGAGAGGTTGATATTGGTGGGGGTAAGGTGTGCAGAAAAGGTATGGTACAGGGATGCAGAGCTGGCTAGATGATGATCTATGAGGTTGATGAAGTTGGTGTATGACGAAGAAACAACGTATTGCTTTGTCATGCATTTATCGGATGTTCGATGGATAATTACAGCTGCCAGGAAGTGGAGGCCACCGGGAGTCTGCAGCTGGACGACATGTTCAAGGGCGCATCAACCAAGCATATACAAATAAAGATACTAATAACCCAATCGGCCTGAGTCGATAGCTTAAGGTTCCAGCGTCCATCGATGATGGCGGGCACCCATCGTTTAAGTATCTTCTGCGCAGACATGCAACAGCCGCTATCTATCCTCACAGAATGTCATTATGGTCACAAGTCAGGCGAAGCTACAGAAACGCGTGGCTCAAGAAAATTTTCATAACGTAGACTTTTGCTTCATCACAAGTAAACCAAGGCTCGTCAGATGAAACATCATAATCATAATCCCGCTTTGCTCATGCTTCGATCACAGAACTCGCACAGGAAAGGGTTCTTCTTTCATCAAGTATTGTCGTAACTATTGGTGCATCTTGAGTCTATCATATTTGAGATGGAAGAAGGAGCCAGACGCTGTTCGGCCATTCAAAGGTAAGCACGTCCATTGTTTTTCTCTGGCACGCCAATACATATGATGCAGTACCGTAGTTTCTGGCCGTATTCTTCCCGGCTGCTGCCGCCTTCCGTAGTTCTCGATCTACAGCCCTAGCATTCCCCTCCCTCAATTAATAACCTCGCTCAGTTCTTGTCACCCCCTTCCTGAAACCAGCCAACGGTGACGGCGACACACCACCGCTACAATACTACCAGTTTGGTCTTCCACGGCACATATCACACGTGTTCCCCACCTGTTTATATTCTAGGTACTACCTTGTCGGCATCGCCTGCTGCCCAGGGTATCTGGTTATGAGCTCGTCCTGAGGACGGAGAGGTTGATGGGACCGTTGTGACAGTGATGAGTGATTGGAAGCGGTAGGGATAAGGCGTACTGGTCTTTGAATAATCTTGTCATGACGGTGTTTCGTCACTCGTGCAATACGTGGTTGATATATGTATGAGAGTGCGATGACCAGATATCAAAATATGAGGCAACACAAGCCGTCACACTGTGAGGGATGATAGTAAATTTGAGCTCCCGACCCTAGTCTCCCTTGACCATCGTTCGTTCAAGTTGCCCGGCATCCTCGCACCAAAGTGTTGACCTTCAATAATATTATGTACAAGATTAGTCACATCAAGTACGCGAGGATGAGAAAACAACGACTTGCAATAAACTTGAATCTTCCAGTCTCAACCCAACATCTGACTCGTATCTGCTCTTGACATGCACCGCTGTCTTCGCCTGACTGAGATCCTCGAAGAGATATGCCATTTTCTGTTCAATTCCGTAACAGTGCTTAAGATGATAAACACAATATTCTACTCACTGCCTGAACTCTCACCACTTGCATCTCCGGTGATTCAAGATCGACGGTCTGTCCTCAACTTCGCACTCACCTGCCGTGCATTTCGCGCTCCAGCACTCAATGTGCTTTATTCCCACCTAAATGAAATTGGGCCTCTTATTAAGGCCCTGCCTGATGAACTGGTTCATTTGCGCGAACCTTCCCCGGTGACACCAGAACAGTTCCACTCGTTGGTCCCCTACGCTACACGCGTCAAGATCCTCTCCAAGTCTTATGGTCACGATGACACTGCGTATGAACTTCTCGTTGCAAGTGCGCCTAAGATACTCTACTCTTTCCCAAGCTGCGCTCGCTCACATGGTGGGATTGCTGTCTCACATCCATCCCAGCCCTCAGGCTCTTCCTATCCACTCTCGAGTCCCTTTCCCTTCACCTCTCAGACACTTCATTTCTCAAGGCCATCATCCCTGACCTCCACATCACCGCCCCTTACCTCAAAGCCCTTGCCTTCGTAGGCTTCGTTGAAACAACCGAGGACAGCCCCTCGGAAATCGAGTCGCTCCTGCTCAGCTATTCTGAGGGTCTTACAAAGTTTTCATTCACATGCTACGATATCCCAAGCCACTTGCTCGATGTTATCGCTGCATGGCCACGTCTCCGATGGCTCACCCTCGAGCTGAGTTACGAAAGCATCCCCCCTGTACCTCTCCATATACCTCAGCCCTTTCAGGCACTCAATCACTTGCATATCTCATGCGATGATCTGGGCCTTTTCATGTCTTTCCTCCGCGCATTCCGAATACTCCGGATGGATTCTGATACGTGTTCCTTTGGATCTCCCAACCTCAAAACAATTCAGATAAACGCACTAGGCTGTAGCTCAGCCAACATCTGGTCTGAACTCCTCATCCTTCTCACCCGCATAACGCTAGAGCATATCATTGTCACCGATGGGTGTCGCGATCAGCACACCGAGCTGCACTGCCACATAGAAGTCTCAGCCTTTGAGTTCTGCTCCCTCCTCACGCATCCTACCGCCCTCGTAGACCTCAGGACACTTGTCCTCTCTCCCAACCACGCTTCGTCCATTGCACTCAACAACGCGGATATCCTCACGCTTGCTCGTACATGCCCGTACCTCGAAATCCTTGACCTAGGGATGTCCAACACGTCTGTATCCCTCTGTACTCTAGGCGTCCTTGTGAGGCGCTGCCGCGAGTTACGCAAGGTCTTCCTTTGTGTGGACGCGCGGCTCGATTCCCTCGCAATAACGCTTCCGAATAACGATGATGACAATGATCAAGTGTGTTTGCAACCCAACACGCGGTTGTACACACTGGATATTGGGGACTCGCCCATTGCGTGCGAGGGTCCCTTAGACCCACCAACTGCACCAGACCTAATGAGGTCGATCCCACGGTTCCTGCACTCGATGGCGCCAGGGCTTCAGGCCATTGTGACTACAAGTGGGATGGGCCGGGCCGGCCGGTACAAGTCGGAGTGTGGGGAATATGAACGGAGATGGGAGGTGGTATCAGACGCTTTGGCGGCAATGGCAAAAGATGCGAACTATAAAGTCGAGGGTAATGACATGTTTTATTTTCGTGGGCTGTGTTAGATGGTTGAATGGGGTTTGAGATTGTGTCGGCTCACCAGGTGTGTGCGCGAGGGGATGCAGTTTTGGTTTAAGATTGAGATGATTGTAGTATTTCACGGGTAACAAAAGCTACACACATCTTGTCGTACTCGCTTGCTGTTCTTTGCGTATACTACTAGTACTTTTCATATGTCCATGCCTTCGATCCTCTGCATAGTAAGTATGAAGATTCGAGTTTACAATTGTGGTGGTTTGCTTTCCCGTGTAAGTTAACCGACATAATGCAAATGCCGAGGGGGATTGTTTTACGCGGGCACTGTCAAGGTATGAGAGGGCATCTAGGAAATGGGAAGTCCGCGTCGAGTCCGTGCAGACCCCACACAGACTTCCCAATCCCCAGACTTTCTAGCCTGACTGCGCTGAAGGGAGAACATCCGACAAGTAGACGATTGTGAGAGCCGACTGACGATACCAAACAAACATGGAGTTGACCGATCGTTGGAGCTCAACGTTGTTATTCTGATCAATGCAACATGTATTGCTCCAAGCCCAGTAATGCCCTGCATCACGAGCGATTTTGCAGAATGTCTGCAACTTCACCGCAGTTCCGACTGGATCTAAATCATACACGACCTTGTCCTGAACGTCGTGTAGCAGGAGCTCCTTGCTTTCCCATCTATGCGATAACATAGCCCAACCGAAATGCTTCGCGACCACTTCTTCGATGGGTTCGGTTTGGATGGGCAGGTGCGTCACCGATGAAGACAAAATCTCTTTGTGCTCCGAATGCGGTCTAGTCACAGTGCTGTTTATACTGGTGAGAAATACCCCTTTTGAAAGACTATAGTCAGTGACTCAGAGTACATAGCCAACGTTAACATAGGGGTTTGCACTGTCTGCTCGATCGAAGCGGACGTTCGACAAATGAAGTGTCGTATATCAACTTTGTCTCATCTCCAGCCATGTAAGCCAGTTAGCACGAGTTACACCCACTCGGGCGACTCATGATAGGGGGCTTCAATGTCGACTGCAGCGAGGAGTTGACTCGGTACCGACCCAGAGCTTGATCATTGTATTATCATGGGAAGTGCAAGTGTTAAATTCACTGACAACATCAGTTCGACCGAGCTTTACGGCTCGACCCGGTTCTCAGTCTTCCGAGATGTTAAATCTTGCCCGAGGCAAAACCCCGAAACCGCCGATGTGTGGGTAAGTTGGAGGCACATCAACCAAGCATGTACAAATATCTTCATGGCCTTCGAATTAACCCACCTTCGATACGCTGATGTCTGGCGGTGGACGCTTCCAAATGCAGGCTCGTCGTTTTCGGCTGTGATTTCAAGCTTACTGGATGATATGTACTCGATGATCGATGTCGATGATTGTTCGAGATGTTCTATGCAGCATTCGTACAATATCCTGTTTTACTCACAAGCACGTTAATCAAGGATTTCATCGGACTCCATGACCATCAACCCTCGAAGTGATATTTCAATTTGTGTCCAATTCGGTTAATTCGGTTGACTCAAGCTTTATCTTGTACTCATTGCCCCGCATCTTACCGTCTCCGTACATCGAGACCGCCGCTCCATCCTCCTCCTGGCACTCATCTGTCGTGTATTTCGCGACCCAGCACTCGATGTCCCTCATTCTCACATGAAAGAGATCTAACCTCTTATTATATATGTCTGTCTGGAAAACTGATTCCATCAGCTGCAGGCAATCCTTGCCTGATGCATTTTGGGTTACCCGACCAAACAGTTTCACCCATTGGTCCTCCGCGCTGCACGCATCTACATCCTCTTCAATCCTTAAGCTTGTTACAACGGCATTGCGTGTACATCCCTACTTGCAAGCGCCCCCAAAGACGCCCCGCTCTTTCTAAATGCTGCACTCGCTCACATGGTACGATTCACGTCTCAACATCTATTCCCGCCATCAGCCTCCTCCTACCCACCCTACACCCTCTCCCTCTACGTCTCAAACACTCCATTTCGCAAGGCCATTCACACTCACTTCCATACCACTAGTACTGCCTTGCACCTCAAAGCTCTTGACTTTGTGGGCGAGGTCATCACGACCGGGAATGGCCCCTCGTAATTCGAGTCACTCCTGCTTGGCTACCCTGAGGGTCTCACAGAGCTGTTATTCAGATGCTGCGATATCTCGAGCGCTTGCTCGACGTTATCGCTGTGTGGTCACGCCTGCGATGCTCACTCCCCAGCTGGGCTTCAAAAGCATCCCACAGGATTCCTCCATGTGCCCCATCCCTTTCAGGCATTCACTCACCTGCACGTTTCATGCGAGGATGTGAGCGTCTTTACATCTTTCCTGCGCTCCTTCCGGATGCTCAAGATGAATTCTGATACATGCTCTTTCGGATGCCACAACCTCAAAACAATCCAGATCAACGCAAATAGATGCAGCACAGCCAGCAGCTGGTTCGAACTCCTCAGCTTTCTCACTCGCGCAAAGCTCGAGAACATCATTCTCACCGAGAGGTGTAACTATCAGGGTATACAGCCCTGTCTCGCACCCTCATCCTTTGACTTTCATCCCCTACTCGCGCACTCCACCACCCTCGTAGACCTTAGGACCCATCCTCTCTCCCAACCATTCTTCGTCTATCACACTCACCGACCTCGCCATCCTCATGCTCGCTCCTACATGCCCATACCTCAATATCCTTGACCTAGGGGTACACAACACCAACTGTGTGCGGCGCTGCTGTGAGATGCGCAAGGTCTTGCTCTCCAATGACACAGGGCTCGATCCGCTCGGAGCAACACCTCCGAATAACGACATCGACATGGATCAAGTGGGTCTTCAACCCAACACGCGCCTGATCAAACATGACGTCGGAGAGTCGCCCATCGCGTTTGCAGGCCCCCCGTACCCATCAACAGTACCAGACTTGATGGTGTCAATTCCACGGTTTCCGCACGCGATGGCGCCATGGCTTGCCGGTATCGCGAGGAGGGGGGAGAGTGGTCATTCCGGGACGTATGAGGCGAGGTGGGAGATAGTGTCAGACTCTTTTGTCTGTGATAGCGAGAGGCGAATAGTGACTGGTGGTTTCTATGTTCTTTCGGGGGGATGTATTATATGGGTGTTTAGGCGATCAGATTGTGAGCTCGTCTCAAGGAAGGAGAGGTTGGATGATGGAACTTTTTGTGTCTGCTGATATCCTGGGGTTTGCTTATCGGTTTTTTCGAACATTTACAGTACAAAGTTTCGTGGAAAGGCCACCCGCAGCCTTATGATGATTCGAAATCTTGCTTTCATTGTTGGTGCGCCACCGGTCTGACCATTGCACAGTACTTAAAACTGTACTCTGTAGCAATCTGATGTATCACACTGCCCTATGGCTCGTAGCAGACTCTGTATCACAGAATTGCTATAGACAGATATTTCGGAGAAATAATTGACCAAATGTGACATGCGAATCTATATTAATTACCATTGGCGTGTGGGGGAGTTGCACAACGGAGAAAAAGCCCGAAACGAGCCCACAATTGGAGGGGTCGTGACTGCGTGACTACTGGACCGGTTGTGGATGGCGGGGATGCTGCAGTGAGATCAGCGGGACTGCGGCAATCATAAGAGTTGAAACATACGCAGGCGGTGCTTCAAAGTAACTTGGACGATTGTGTTGATAAACTCCTCCTTCGTCCGAGAGTCTTCAACTGGTGCGTTTGCCTTCCAAACAGAAGAGTTTGCCTGATATTTATGGATGGCAGCGCTCACAGCTTCCCTGACGGCAGCTGCATTCGAAGATATCATGTACTGCTCGAAAGCAACACGGACAGAGTCAACCACAGTCTCCTGCTGGTTCTGGAGATAGTGTCGCTGCTCCCAGAGTTTGCAAGAGTGTTCGAGAATAATGACAGTAGCTAGTTAATCAACAATCAACACGCTCATTTCAATCGTGCCAAAAAATTCACCAGAACTGAGCTGAACAATTTGTTCCAGCGCCGATGAACCAGAGGCCTAGCACAGCTTCAACGTGAGAATCGTGTGGAAAGTGTGACCTATCGGACATACCAGAGAGTATAGTCTAGACTGCATTTGCTTATAGATGGAGCCAGAGGCCTAGTGAAATTATGATGACGTAGTCTATCTGAGCTGAGGATCAACACGCTTACGTCCTGATATGGATCAGAAATGCCTTGGGTCAGCAAGGCTCGAGGTTGATGGATCAACAGACTCACATTCTGCAAGCGGACGAACACATCCACAACCTGTCAACAGATCAGCAGTGTGATTGGCGAGGAAGGCTTAAGCTCGACAGGTCAATATGCTCACTTCCTGTCAAAAAATGAGCAATATGATTGATGGGGAAGGCTCCATGTCGACCGAGGAGGAAACACTCACACGCTAACAACAAAATAGCAATTCCCCCGGTCAGAAAGGCTTCAGTGGACGGAGAGTCAAAACACTCACTCGCTGTCAACATATGCGAAATTGGTGAGTAATGCTCGAGATCGATAGCGGACGGACACACTTACAAGCTGTCCATGAATCAACAATTTTGCTGGTCAGGAACGCTTCAGCTTGATGGCGGACGAACACACTCACAAGCTGTCAATGGAGATCGGCAATTTTGTCGGTCAGCAACACTCGAGCTCGACGGATGATGGGTGTACTCACTCGCTGTCAATGGATTGGCGATGTCTTCGGTCAGCAAGGCTCGAGCTCCATGAAGGATCAACACACTCACTTCCTGTCAACAGATCAGCAAAATCGTCGGTCAGCATGGCTTCAGCTTGATGGAAGATCAACACACTCACACTCTGCCAATGCATCAGCAATGTCTTTAATCAGTATGCCAGAGAGAATCAATAGACGTACTGTCTGCAACCAACCACTCAAAATTAATGAGACCAATTTTAGAATATTCCAATAATCTCACAGCAATGTCTTCAACCCAGGCACTCAACTTGCCTATTACCACAGGTATGGGAGATGAGATTGTTTGAGCAGAGTCGACAAGTTCTACAAGTATCCTCGACAATAAGAGCTTGGATATTTGGCTTTCAAATATATCCTTCGTGCAGTGATCCAAGTTGTCAATGGTCAGTTGAGTTGAGAACAACCACTCAAGCACTCCATCATTCAGGTTTTCAGCCGTGCACTGGATGAGTGGCCCGCAATCTGCACCATCCTTGTCCATGCCTGATATCAGGTGTAGATCAATACTCATCATGTATCACAATCTGATGACCAACAAGCGTACCAAAGAGGCATATGTGACATTTCGGAGGCCGTCCAATTTCCTTGGCATTGTATAGGAACTTCAACTGTGGCCCATTTGCAAATGACTCTTCAGCAAGCTTCGGGGCCAGTTCTCTTGCATCTTTCCTAGACACTCCATTTCTCCTCAGCCGTTCAAATTCAACATAGTAGAGGGCATCAAATTTGGTGAATAATACTATCACTGGAACTGAAGATTGCTGATCAGTCAATTATCAACAATGATCAGATGCAAAAGCTTACTACTGCCAGTGTCGCACTGAGAAAAAAAATTGACTTCTGCCTGGGTGAAGCACCTACTTTTGTCGTCCATTGGGATGCAATACCTGTCAAAGAGTTGAGTTAGCACATATCACAATCAGTCCATTATAGTTACCATATGGCATGGATTTGATCCTTTAAACTAGTTCTCTGGGAATGGTCTGCGATAAATGCCTTCACCCTGTCGAATTCAGATTCCGAGCCTGCTTCAAAACCGCATGAATCATGAAAGATGAATCCTGGGTTGCTGCGAAACACCATTCCATTCTCGATATCATGCTCTCCACGCTGGGAGCACATCAGGTCATGTTTCCAATTGATAAGAGCACATCTTACTCTTATGGATCCTATCACAACGGCGGGATCAATCTGTTATTGATGGGTCAATTATCACCACCAGCCTCTTAGTATTAGTATCACGCTCTGCACCTTTTCCCCAGTGCTGTTATATATTTCTGGGTTCTCCCGTGTGTCGCAAATCCTCTGGAGGATGGTTGTCTTTCCTGCATTCGCTCTTCCTATAATGAGGATTCGGACTCGGAAGTAGTTAAAGTTCTGTCTTGATGAAGGATCCATGGAAGAAGGTGAAGGAGACTGGGGAGTCAGCGCGGCTTCAAGTTCAAGTAACCGGTGGATAAATTCTGTGAGCACCCGAACCTGACGTGGGCAACAGGTATTTTGAGGTCAGCAACGTTGGTCGCAACGTTCCTGGGCTGTGACTAGTACCAGCGCTATTTTACGTGCTTCCTCTTTGTTATTTGCTTCGCCATTGTCTGCAGGCTGCGCCGCTGCTACCTGGTTCAAGCTCTTCAGTATGAGTACGGAGGATAACAATGCAGAGAAAAACACAGCGGCCAAAGACGAGTCTGCGTGAGTCCTCATTGCGGCGTGGTTGCAAATAGGAATTGACACCTTGGTTGAAGTACGCTCGGTCTTCTCCAGCAGATCGTGGACATCCTCCAGACCTCAACAATTGTCGAGGAAAGAGGAAAGGACATGCGTTCTAGATTTTGGGCTGCATACAAAAAGGTGTCGGGTGAACACGACGACAACATGTTCGAAAGGTGTAATGACAATATGAATATACTATTGACCTTCGTATGTGAAATATCTCTTTGTTCAATATTATCCATCCAACTTTCGAGTAACTTATAGGCTGGCCTGTTCTCCGCCGCCAACACTGCATTCATCATTGCGATGCAGCCGAATCCTGTTGATACCACCAATGCTCTTTTAGTCCAGCTTATCCAGATCACACTGTACGGCCCCTCTGCAGCCCAGCCAACGACCCTTTCGTCCTCCACCAACTACTTTCCCATCTTCTGGACGCAGGCACTTTCATATATGAGCCTCGCCCTCAGTCTTCTCGCTGCATTTGGTGCCGTTATGGGCAAACAATGGTTGAATTACTACAAGACGTGCCGTTATGGTGGTGGATCGCTTGAAGAGCGATGTAAGCGGAGGCACAGCAAGTTCCAAGGGCTAGAAACGTGGTGTTTCGAAGGCGTGCTACAGTCATTCGCGGACCTTCTCAAGGCCTCTCTGTTTCTCTTCGGTCTGGCACTCGGAGGTTGGATGTGGACGCAGCAGGGAACCATCTCCATCCTCATGATCTCAACAACTGCTTTCGGCTTCATTTGTTACGCTGTGACCATCTTGGTATCTCTGATACGTCCCGATTGTCCATTCCAGACGCGCCTCTCCTTAGCCATCCGTGCCGTCCTTTACCCCAATATCGAACGTGAAGAAGATTCCACTGCATCCGCGATGGAGTGGATGCTGAAGACTTCGACTAATCCCGATGCCGTCAGTGCGGCAGTCGAGTTGATGCCTCACACATCGCCGCCACCAAATTTGCCCCCTGCGACGGTATATGAAGTGCGAGACAAATTCAAGAGATGTTTCAATGAGGAAGGTGATATAATGGTCCAAAGCGATGCACCAGCGTATGGGAGATTGTTGATCCAGTCCTCCTGGAATGATACACGTGCAAGGGCTATACTTCACGAAAGCACTGTAACAGGGTGGAATTTCTGGAAATCGTGGCACACCTTGTATGTTGCTCCGGAACTGGAGGAACTGAAACGGTGTCGCCAGATGGCTGGTAATCCAGCGCAACAGTTACATTGCCAAGCAGATATACGCTCTGCTCTGCATATGATTTTGCCCGCTGGCAACGACAGCTTTACCAGGTCCAGTCTAGATGATGAACGATCAATGTGGGATGGTACATTTGGATTAGAACTCGATCTGCCGGACGCTCGCTGGCTTATGGAGAGTGCAGAGCAGTTCCTCGAAACCCAAGATTTTGAGGCAGCAGGAAATGCGCTCTTCTTTATCAGTGGCGCCTTGAAGAAATCAGTGGCCTATAGCCAACCCGACATCACCCGATTTCTGAATAGCAGCGATCAATCACGTAAATTGCGCCATAGCGCACTTCGTGCTGCTTGTCGAGCTCTTCACTACAAGTTGGAGTGCAACTCGCCATGTGATCCGTTGTTTTCGGAGGCTGCTTTGACGGCTATCTGTCCCCGCATCCAGAGTAGGCACAACAGAGACGACGACGACGACGACCAGTTCATCAATGCGATCCAGCTGCTCAAATACGATAAATGGCCCTGCGACCACGATCTAGCAGCTTCCCCGCTGCTTGACATTCAGCGTCTGGTACTCCTTGTGTTACCGGCACCATCACCTGACAGCCCCGCGAAGTATACTCTTTACTGCGATGCACTCAGTCATTTCATCTGTGCGGAGTTTGCGGAATCGCTGGAGCCTGTGGAGTCTGCAGACGAACGTTATGACTCTAGATGCGTGGCCTTACGCGTAGCTTGTAATATCAGACAAGGTCTGGCTGCGATCACTGCTGACGGAGTTGATGCGCCATTACTAGGCAAGGCGCTCTCCCAGCTCTCCCAGGCCCTCCTCACCGTATGTCATCGAGACAGCCTTGATGCCGACAGTAATTTCTACTATTTCCGTCTTATCTTTGCTCTCGCAAGTCGTCCCTATTGGCTCCCTCGCTCTGAAGAAGATGGCCATATCAAGAGGTGCATCGGACTCATTCCCAATTTTTGTGACCAACCTCCTTCTTGCCTCTTTTACCTCGCCGGATTCTTCCTTCGTATTCAACATGCTTACCCGCACTGGACCCCTCTGACTGAGCTTCACATCATCACAAGCAAACAGTGGTGGCACCTGATCAGGATGGCATGGTGTGTTGCCAGCCGCCCCTATGATCAATCCCGAGGCTGTTACAGTTCCGATGTTCTGGATGATGGCATTGGCATTCTTGAAGCCCTTGTCACGGCCACGAAGACGCATCTGCCACAAGGTGCCTTGGGGAGTGAGCTCGAAGTTCTCCATAAGTTGTTGGGCGACACTGTTAATAGGTTGGAATCGCGCCAGGGGGTGGGCGAGGGAATTGTACTTGCAGTGAGAGGTTTGGAGGCTGAGGTATATCTTAGACTCAACACAGAAGGGTAGAGTCACAATGCACATTTTATCTCCAACAAGTGATAGCGCTGCGCGGCTTGTTTTGTCAACAGGTTCTAGTCAACATAGTTTGTTCTCCTGTATATAATGTAACATGTAATTGCCGCAAAACGAACCAAAGGGAATCGAAGTGGAAATCAGATACACTTCGATGCGGTCGAAACATGAAAGACGCCGCCCGCGGGTTTCGTCAAGTTCATGCTTCACGCTGAGCTGGCCTCTCGGAGGCTAGTCTCGTAGGGAAATCAATAGAACAGAGGTAGTCGTTCCTTTAGATACTTCTATCAAGCCTGTACATATATTTTTTCAAAGTTCGATGATTCCGGGTGTTAGCAAGGACAATTTTGAAATGACCATGATTTTTCCTAGAGCTGGTTCGACATTTACAGACTGTCCATACATCGCTCCATAGGAGGTTTTTTCTTTTTTTTGTATCCATTCATGTCCCGTCAGAGCAGTACTCTATGTAGGACATTACATGCAAAGTCATGGGGACTGCCAGTGTCCCCATCGCACCTCAGGAGTCGCGAATGCCCTGATGTGAGGCGTACCCCCATCAGTCCGCCGTTCCCGCCGGCCGTTTTGGACGCGCACTTCTACGAAGATGAGATGACTAAATAATAAAGTGCGAGAGAGTGTGGTAGGTAACTGGCGTGCGGATGATCTGAACGCATTCTCGCCTGCCGCTGAGAGCAGGAAGATACGGGAATCGTGTGGGAAGCAAATGGGAGTTTATGGTCAGTATGGATGGATGAGCTGAGGGACTATTTGGCATTTGACTGAGACTGCGTGTTGATTGGTAGATTCCATGTAAACGAGGCGAAGGAGGAGTGGAATGGGCATGTGAGCATAGTGGAGGAATGGTGGTAGCAGGGATACATGGGTGTGGTCATCTTGGCTTCAATTTCCGTGTTGCGATATATTACTGTGCGGGGTGAAACGAGACGGCATCAGGTTAATCATTTAGAGGGCATAATTACTTCACCGAACGTCGCTGTGAATCTTCCGGTGCTATTGACATAACGTACGAGGTACGGAATTGCAGAGGGATCCGAAAGGAAGAATGGGGTTGAGGATGCTTTCCGTACAAGGGCGTTCTGCAGTGCATGGCGTTCGCGTCTGAAGTGAGGGCAATCCAGTAGAAAGTGATGTACTGATTCTTCTGATCGAGGACAGTGGGGACAGTGAAGCGAAGCAACTTTCTTGATGCAATGTAGATGTTTGTTGAGAGGGATGTGCCGTGAGCGTAGATCCATCGGGAGGCCGGTGAGGCATTTCGGAAAGGATGAGGTGAGTTTGATGAACGAGTGGTTGATAACATTTGTATCGAGTTGCTGCATGCGAGGCCCACTATGGCAAGCTACTTCAAGGACATGACTATGGGAGGGGTGAGTTTGGGTATCATTACCGCCGTCCTGACTGGGGTAAGTCTTTTGGTCACTAGGCTTGATCATGCTCGTGACTGTTACTTGCAGATCGAGGCTTGCGTAGCTGAATGGACTAGCAGCACGAAAACCGGAACACGATTCTACAAAGAGCGTTATTCTACTAGTCTCCTTTAGTCAGACCAATCGAAGGAAGATAGTCGTTCCTGTATGTATATTTTGTATTAACCTAACCACCTAGACGGCTACATAGGTCCGCGTAGGTATCGCACATTTTCCTGATGCGCGGATGTTCTTCTTCATTTGGCCTACGACACATGTCGAAGCGGATGCTCGACAACTGAAGCGTTGTATATCAACGTTGTATCACTCGGGCGAGAGGAAAATGCACCAGGGCCTCAATTGTCGACTGGAGCGAGGAGGTGTCCACCGGGCCAGTGCTTGATGTATCGTCATGGGAAGTGCAAGGAGGAGAATTTGAATCCACCGACAACATCAGTGCGAGTGAGCTTCTCGCATTTATTTCCTCGCGTCTCATACACCTTTGCGTACATCATTCTCGCGGTACTCTCGTCCTCGTATTGTACTGTACATTATGAACTCCACATTTGTTCCGGTGACCCAGTTCTCAGCATTCTGAGATATTAAGTCGTGTGTGGCATTGTCGCCATAACTTTCTGTTGCTACAAGCCGCTATGAGCAGGCGCCAATATGGTCCATGTTACTTGGACGCACAAACCAGCAGGGGCATGATGAGTATCACTTTGTCCACTGAATCACTTGGAAGAACATGTGGTCTATGCTGGAGATAAAATATGTCACGAATAAATATGCTCGATATCACAGTGTATCTGACATCTCCACAAGCCAATTTCTGGAATAAGATCATCGTTATCAAGAGCTAGAAGTATCGGTTTGATTAACTGTGAAGGACGGGAAAGGGTAGAGACTCACTCAGCTCGGCAATTCTGCCAGTGTTGCCCATGAGCCATGCGGCTCAAATCCAGTTCAACACACCCCCTGGGTATCATCAATGCAGTCCGGGAATCAAAACATACTGCCACCTCTCGGAAAGCGGGTGGCACCCAGAGTAGGTTCTGCCCACGTCCGGGACCTAAGACCCATCCATCGTCTCTCACAAAAGAGGTGGCTCGCCAGGATGAAGCAAAGGTTTCGGAGGTCTCATGGACGAAGTCGATAGAGTTCAACAGTAATGGGATCGAATAGGAGGAGCGAATGAAGTCATTAGTGGAGGTGGTAGTTGTCTCGGTATTAGTAACACAAGCTTGGTCTGATAACGCCAGACTGTTGTCACGGATTCGCCAGTTAGATTTCAACAGTAGCCGGATTGAATTGAATGAGAATCGAGTGAAGTCATTGGTCGAAGTGGTAGATTCTTCGTCAGGAAATACTGGCTTCGAGTTCCAATACTCCGAGTCATACTCCAAGTCTCCATCCTCCGAGTCGGAGTCGGAGTCTCCATAGTAATCCGAGTCCCCGTACTCCGAGTCCGCGAACTCC